CAACACACGCTGCTCCGATGGCCAGAACGGGAAACGCCCCTGTGCCGTGCCCTAGTGCAGTGGTGGCCACACGAGGTCCCGCTGGTGAAAGGTCTTGCCCTGGCGAAGGCTGTGGTGGGTTTAGGAGCGTGTAGCGGGGTAAAAACTGAAGGGTTTCGGGGCACAAATCGACCTGCCCAGAAATGCAATCCCAAAATGTTTGGGGAGCCTCTCAAACACAAATCCACCTGCCAAAACCAGCATGAGCGATGACAGCACAGCTCGGGCAAGCAGAAGCCTCAGAAACACTCAAAGCCCAAACCAAGAGCCCTGGAAGCTGCCCTAAGACTCTCTTTATTTTACAGTTTCCTAGAAGACGTTTTAGCATGCAAATACCTTGAAGAGGAGGAAGACAACTTTCCTTTTGGGGTTTTTACTTTCAGCCTTGCAACAAAAAATTGTCACAGTGTAGGTGGGCGGCCCTGGACAGCCCGCTCTGGCGCGCCGTCTGAGGGAACGCATGCTTCTACTTCACCGCCTCTTGGAAATGAGTTTCTACAAGTGATGGGATGAAAAAACGTCGCGAGAAGGAATGGGAATGAACACCGGACGCCGAGTGGAGAGGAGAAGGGGGAAATCCACTACCTCATTCCCCTCCAGCAAAACTCACGGAGTGGGGAGACAACTAAAATGCAAGAGGAGGAGAGAGTTTCAAGAATGAAGCTTATTTTAAAAGAAACATTTAAGGCAAGAACAGGACATTTGAGGAATCCTCCTAAGAATTTTGGCACAAGTCACTGAATTTTTGGGGGGTTGTTGGTTTTTAAATCGTCAAATTCTCTGTCTCTACAAAAAAAAAAAACCCCACAAAGCTCAAACTGCCATCGGGAGCTGAGAGCTGTTCCACGGAGGAGGAGGGAGAGCAGAGCTGCAGCAGGACCACGGCTCTGCTCCAAACGAAACGCAGCCGCAAAAGCTGGAGGATGTGGTGGGTGCTTTTGTATTTTTGATGAAAAAAAAAAAAAAAAAAGACAATGACCATTTGCATGCTTTTGGGAATGTTCTCCATGTCTGTCCCTATGAGCTCTTTTATCACTTTGGGCAGATCTCCGAGCTGGCAGAGCAGGATGTTGCTGCATGAGAACACCAGGCTCCTCCTCACCCCAATCCCGTGGTGGGGTTTTTTAATGGAAGGAAAAATAATGCTTTCCCTGTGAAGACACACGTTTCTCTCTCTGTGCACCCAAAGTGAGGTTAATACTCGTGGCGCTGAGAAAAGAGCCTGGTTAACCTGTAGCAGCGGTACCAAGGCACGGGGAGCCCGTTCTACCCACTTACACATTGCTGTCACATCACGTCCATCACACAAGAGCTTCAGCGTGATCCAGCCCCCGCCACTGTCCGTGCTCATCTCCCCGACCCTCTTGGGCTCCAGCTTAGGGCCTTCCAGGAGATTTTCAGAGGCACGGAGGAGTTTAAACTTTAAGGTAAGAGTTTAAGTTCAGAGTTTAGGATAAGTTTAAGTTTAAGACAGGTGCTCCTGTCTCTGCACCTCCTCGTCGCTGAAAATCTCCAGCATCTCCGGAGCTGGCTGGGGTCAGTTCCACAAGTAGTACTATTTTTTAAATGTTTTATATTTAACATAACAAGAAAACAGACTTTTCTCCTCCTGATCTGCCTATATGTCCCCCTGTGCCCTGCCACGTCTTCCACGCCGCACGGCTCCTTGGCTGTTTCCCGCGGGATCTGATCCCGACACGCTCCCTCGAGCCTCCATCCAGCCCTAGCCCTTCTTTTCCCCCTTCGTCCTGTCCCTGCCGCGGGTTGTTACTGGGCTTGGTCCTCTCTCCGGCCACCCAGACTATGCAAAGTTTCATCCCCTGTTATTTTCTTCAGGCTGTGCAGGTGGCTCTGGCCATATCCGTTGGCTCCGGCCATATCCGTTGGCTCCGTATTAGCTGAGCCTCTCTCTCTTACCAGAATTTTGCGGGCCCAAGTACCTGCCCAAGAGCTGCACTCTCCAGCCTTTCTGTTGTCTCCAGCTGACAGCCTGGGACCCAGAAATACCGACTGCACGGAGAAATACGGTGCTTCAGGGCAACTCTGCTCCCTCCCATGAATCTCCTGAAAAAAACCCCCAAATCTTAGACCAAATCTAATGCTTCCAAGGGCTTGTCTACATGGAGAATCTACTGCACAGCGTAAGAAACTTGGCAACACGGTAGCTGCTCGGCACTAACTTCTTCTCTGGAGTACGTGAGTGGGCACGCGTGCGCACGCACGGGGTAGTGGTCCACTGTAAATCCACGCTGTAGTTGCTCTGCAGTAACTCATGGGCAAAGGCATGGGCATTGCTGTGAAAATTCTCTTGTCACCTGTTTGACTGCTGCTCTTTAAGGTGTTTTCTTTTGCCAGGCGGTATTTGGATCCAGGGGGTACGAAAGCCAAGTCCCCTGGACACACTCTTAGCATTTTTCTCTACATTAAAAGGGATTCCAGGGACTCACAGCAATAGCACATCACCACAGCACTTTCTTGGGCTCCCTTCCTGTCCACCCCTTTGCCAGAGCTTTATCACAAACCATTGGCTTCTAAAATGGACCAAATTTGCAAACTTTTTTTGCAATTCATTTTTTGTGAGCTTCAGCAAACAGGGCCCACTGAGCGCGGCTCCCACCCGCAGCCGCTGCCAGGGTGCCCCGCGGCATCAGATCTCTTCTCCCTGAGCTCACCAGAAACCCTCCCTTGGAGATCCAAACTCTCAATTTACGGTTGATGGAATCCTATCAAACCCCCCAAACGTTTCCTTCTTTAACCCTCGAACCCGAAAGCAGCTTGCTGGGAAGCGGGCGTTATTTTTCCTGAGGTGCGTAAGGGCAGCGGTGCCCGGCTGCGCATCTCCTGCCCTTTGCTCTTTGAGCTGCTGAAATTCAGCTTATGGTAAGAGCCGAGCAAGCTCCTCCTTGGGCAGGAAGAGCCGACGTTCAGGGAAAACTGCCGCAAAGAGTTATAGTACTTGAGAGCGCCAAGTGTTTATTAAGTAAGAATTTAAATGCTCTTTTATCATTATATAAAGCTTTTCATCTAAAGTGCTTTACCACATTTAAAGGATTAAGCCTTGCCACGCCCCACGAGGTGGGTTAGCGTTAACGCTGCTCTAATTGCACGGATGGCAAAGTTGCTCAATCACATGCACTGTACAGCTCCAAAAAGAAACCCCTTTTTCTTTCTCCCCCTTAACAGAAAGATAGATGAATAGAGATTTCCTATGACTCCGGTTTCTCCAAAGGGATCTGGGCAAACACACATGACCCTTCGAAACGGCCCGGGATACCCGAGTCGCAGGAACAAGGGGGCTTTGCGAGGCAGCGGCAATGGTCCTTGCCAGAAGTCCCAGGCTGGCGAAGCACAAAGCAGTAGAGGTACCAGAATTCACCTGGATGCAGGAGAAGGCAGAAGCTTTCCCCAAAAAATCCCCACAGTGATGATTTGCTGTATGCACCCACACGTGGTTTGTGCCTCCTGTCTCAGCCTGCGTCTCCAGGCTGCTGAGGCAATTCCTTCTCGTCTCGCTATTAAGTATAACAAAAAAGAAAAACGAAGACACTTAAATTCCTTTAATTTTTAATCTTCTTCCTGATTAGCTACAATTGCACTGCTCTGCGCTCTTGAATATGGCTTTTTGGTTCTTATCCTGCACTGAAATCCAGGGGAAAGCCCCTCCGGTTACTCCTGATGAAATATTTTCTCTCCGCGTAACCTGTCTCTCCAAGTGCTGGAGAAACAAACTCCTCAGGGTTATCTGGAGAGTCTCTGCTCCCTGCTCTCCCCCAGCTTCCCCGTACATTTTGCAACCTGATATTTTGCAAAGGTTTTGCCACCAGATCCTCGCTCTGCTCATCACACACGGTTTTACCCCAGTTCAGCTGCCTAATCGGCTCTTGCGGGTGCGTTAGCTTCTATTTGTGAAGTGAGAAATTGCTGATGCACACCTTGACGCACACCTTGGCGCACACCTTGACGCACACCTTGGCGCACACCTTGGCGCACACCTTGGCGCACACCTTGGCGCACACCTCACCTGTGATTGCGTTACGAGGAGCTAAATCGTGGCAGAACTTCATCCTGAGGCCACCAGCAGGCAAGTTTCCTCCTTTGGTCTGCATCTGGGGAACAACAGCATCCCTCACGATTTTTGGCTGCTTTAGTGTCCACCTAAGCGCAAGCATCTTTTTTTCCACACCCAGGCACGACCGCTCCTCTCCTTAACTTCGTTTTTAGCACAGAGGAGGGCCATCACAAAACCTATGTCCTGAAAAGATTCCCCCTCTTCCATGCCCACAAACAAACCTTATTACTGATGTCCCAGCTCTTTGCCACCTGCTGCAGCCTCCTCTAAGCACGTCAGAATCGAGTTTTCTACGCGTTCGCAGCTATAAGGGTCACAAAGTCCTCAGGGTCTGGCCGGCGTCTCCCCCGTGGTGAAGGCGAGGCGAGGGATCCGAGGCAATCCAGCCTCACCTGGCAGCGGAGCTGAGCTGGTGGGAGGATGGCTTGCTGGAGAGATGGAGAAGGTGGGAAACGTCTCTAAATGTAAGTTGAAGTAGGAGTTACGATCGACAAGTGTGAGGTCCTGGTGGGATATAAATACGCGGGTTGCGTTGCTCGGGAAGGAGTCTCCGAGCAGAGCACACGGCTGACGGCACCTCTCTGGCTTTGGGGTCCCTGGGCTCTTCTCCCCAGGGCTTGGGGGGCTGTCGGGCTCTGCGGGGCGGCTCAGCAGAGCCCTTGCCGGGTACGGCAGTGCGGCTGCCGAGCAGGTGAGGTGGCTTGGTTTCACACCAGCTTCTCGCAGGGAGCCACGAGCGAGGGTCAGGAAAGGTCTCGCACGGGTCAGTTGGCAGCAACACGGCGGCCGGTGCCCGCAGCCAGCCCGGGTGCTGGCGGGGGAGACCAAAGGGGTTCGAGCGCCAAGGGAGGAACGAAAGGGAACCCGGGCGGCCGGTGCCCGCAGCCAGCCCGGGTGCCGGCGGGGGAGACCAAAGGGGTTCGAGCGCCAAGGGAGGAACGAAAGCACCAGAAGAACAACCTCGAAGTGCGCTGTGTTAACGAGGAGTTCGCTTTTTCCGGCCGGTGTTTCACCCCGGCCCAGCTCACCCCCCGCTCCCCGCCTCTGCGGTTTGACGCGCCTCCCCCTCGGCGTTTCCGCCCCTCGAGCGGCGCACGGGTCGCACGGGCCCTTCCCTCCGCCCGCTGCCTTCCCTTTAATCCGGGACGGGTCCGCTGGCGACGAGATGCCGTCGCTGGGCTTCGCGGAAAGGGGTT